CGTTGGGGTGGAAGACAAGGCCGGGCACCAATCCAACGTGGCCGACTTACGATAATAATGAGCTTGCCATGCTTCATATCACAGCGTTTGCAAGCACTGTCCTCTCCGCACATCCCATATTTTATTTGTTTATGATCGCAGGATGCAGACACAACAAACGCAACCGATAGTTCGTCTGTAGGCATATTTGGCATCGCTTCCATCTGCCGGATGCGTCGATCAGCTAATGTCGTAGGCGAAACATAAAACGTCCGATATATACCTTGAGACCAGCAAGCTCGGAAATAGCCACAACGGCATTGCGAGGTGCAAAAATAATGTTTGTCAACGACCTTATCGTGTTCTCTGGACTCTGATTTCGTTAATCCTGTCGCGGTACCGATCACGCAAGAAGTCTGTTTGCGCCTGAGTGATTGTCTGCCTCACGCGATATCGACCCAGCCATGGACTTGCATGGCCGATCGCTTGGCGAGGCTTTCGGCGCCTGAGCTATCGACACGGATCACCATTGGGCGGGACGCCGGCAAGTACACTGAAGAATGCTGAACCTACTGTATATACTTCCCACTTTGAGTATGGTGATTGAGTGGGTGACTTTCACAGAGTATCAGTCGCACAGTGAAACAGACAAGTCGTTCTTCTGACGATTTGTTAATTCCATTGGTATCTCGTGCGGTATGATGGTTATAAGGGGGGCGTGGAGAAGGGACGCATACACGCAGATGGATATACAGAACTTGAGTGTACGTCAGTGGGACCGGAACAAGTTACAATGACTGACTCCCATACAGTGAACAACTACATACTATTATAGTAGCACGATACTTGGAAGTTACGTAATGCTGATGGCTGATGCTAGCGCCTATAGCTAGTAGATGATGCCACTCTCCGCTTGTCTTCACTTTTCGGGACTTACGTTTGTTCATTGTTCTTCAAAGTCTTGTAAAATATCATGGGTATACATCACAAGAGCCTCCCATAGTGATCTTCCGAACTAACATCAGCGCCTTGAATCGGTCACACCTAGGACCTCCTGCCAGTGGTTGGGCTCACCGCAAATTGAATACCGTGGGCTGTAATCTAGAAGATTCTCGATGATGACATGACTTGACTTGAAGGAATACAGATAATTTTAATATGAGGCTGCTCAGGCAACAGGGGTCACTTTGAGAAGCATCTCGGGCTTGTCGCTCTCCTCGCTCATGGTCGGGTAGCTCACGCCCGAAGTGTTCCAGTAAACCGGTCTTCCCGTCGGCTCAAACTTGAAGGATGACAGGAGCACTGATAGGACGATCTTCATCTCGAGCTGCGAGAACTTGAACCCGCTATCGCCGCACAAAGTGAGTTAGAGCCGTGTCTATGACAGGATGCGATTCAAGCGTACGCACATGCACGAACGGGTACCGCCAGAGAACGACATCCTGCAGGTCATTACCATAACGTCCTCAGCGTGCGTCTCCACCACAGAAAAAGACTTCGAGAAGAACGCACAGGTTCGAATACACGCCCGGAATCCGCGCCTCTTCCAATGGAGAAGGGTGCGCTTTCAGCCAGCGCTCAGGCTTCCACTCGTACGCGTCCTCGCCCCACAGCGCGCGGTTGCAGTTGCTCGCCTGGAGGTTCGCCATGATCCAGGTGCCCTTTGGGATGGCAACCTCCGTGATCGTTTCCCCGTTCTTGTCCAACACAGGTGTGAACAGGGAAAGGCACATGTCTTTCGCAGCGCTGTCCGACAGTTTCAGCTCGCGGTCACGTCGAGAGGTGCAGGGAAGTGGACATACGCCCGTGCAATGACGTTGACGGGCGAATACACACGGAGCGTCTCTCGGCACACAGCGTCAAGGTAGGGGAGCCTCTCGAGCGTGTCATACGTGATGTCGTTGCCGTTGCGTGCCTCAGTGACCTCCGCGCGCACCCTCTCCTGTTCAACCGGGTGCTCGGCAAGGACGTGGAGAATTCGGGTGAGAGCATTCGAAGTGGTGTCCATGCCGGCGAGCATGAACGTTCTGAAGCGCATTCAGCGTGAATTCCGGCCTAAGCGGCAATCACGAGAAACACGTACGACATCTGCGCGACGAGTTCCTCATCCGTGAGCCTATCGGCCTCTGGCGCGAGCATGTTCGCCTTCACTGGTACGTTTAATTTCCGTTAAGCATGGGCGTCTGACGTATGAAGAGACGAAGGGGCTTACACAGGATGCTCATCAGGTCCTTCCCTTCGCCGATCTTCTCCCGCAGCACGTCATCGCCCTTCAGGAGAGCCATCTTCTTCTCGTCGATGATCTCAAGAGAGCGCTTTGTCATGGTGTCCGAGATGTTCATCATCTTGCGTATGTCAGCCTGAGGGATCGCACGCAAAATGGCCCTGCAGATCCGTATGGGCATTATGTATGATATAGGGGGGAGGATGAAGCCGAGGATCGCGATGCGGCTGTATGTGGGGCTGGCCAAGCCGAACGGGGACAAAGACGCGTGAGCACGCAAGCGAAAAGAAGGGGAACGGCATGTGCGTACAAGAATGCCTTGAGCGATTCGCCAAAAGCGTCCGTCGAGTCATCGACGAAGTTGTCAAATGAGTACCCGAGTGTCGCTTGTCCAAGCATCTCGAGCGTCGTGCGCGCCATCCACCCATTCACGTCAATGACTTCGCCGTCCGCAGCGCAGCCGATGCGGTTCGTGAGGGCCTTGCGGACCTATGGCATGGTGAGAACCCGTGCTGTCAGATGGACGGTGATGAAGGGAATGGATGAAGGAGACGCACACTATGGGCGATCTCGTAAAACAGGTTCGTCATGTTGCGCAAATGTGCGGCAGAGAAAACGGGGTTGAGCTGCTTGCGCTGCCTGCGGTGTTGCGTCCCATTCGTCGTAAGGACGCTCGGGCCTAAGAGGAGCATGAAATCGCTGCTCGAGCCTCGTCAGCGGTTGCATGCACGAGCACGAGAAGATATGGAGGACGCACTCGAACGGGTCGGCGCATTTGGGGTATGACTCTGCGTCTTTGATCAGGACGCTATGCAAGGCTTTTGGGTCGTAGACATGTACCATGCGAGACTGCGTTTAACCTTCAACACAACGCCCTCCCTGTACTGGATAATCGACGGACGTACCCCTAGGATTCCTTGCAGCCTTGAAATGGGCCCGCATGACTCCGCAAGCTCCATCATGAACTTCCAGCCCTTCCGATCAAACATCTCTTCAACATGCCCTACAGCGCACTGGTCAGGTTCACGGTAGTCAGATCCAGGATGGACGGGCGCACCTCCAAGTAACGAACCAGATGCAGGCCCACGGAGCTTGTCGAGCGGTGAGGGCACAAAGTAATTGCGAAGAAGGTACCATAAACCATAGAAAAAGGTGAATGAAAGAGCGAGCACTGGTAAGGAGGCCTCCATCGCGGCGGTGGGGATGTGGAAGTAGTACGCAAATATCTGAGGAAAGTGAAGCTATATAAATGGCCCGGATAATGGTCATGTCGGCCCGTACAGAAACCTGATGACAAAATATGAGGCTCACTTTGATTTCAGTGAAGGAATGCAATGCCCTGCGACGGATGCCAAGTGGATCATACGGATTACGCTGACTGACCCGGATGTGTTAGCGGCATATTTCCTTCCGGTCATGAATGGCGAAGCCCACGGAGGACGCATGATGAACTCCGCAGCTGTTGGTTCTTGGAAGACATTTTGGAAAGAGAGACGCCGTGCCGAGCACCATGGCGCCTCCACGGCATGGTGTGCGTGCGATCTGGGGATGATCCACTAGCACAATTGGTACAATGGCGCAGTTAGGGGAAGGGATATTGCTGGTCAAATTCGTTGCCGCTAGTCCCTGAGGCATTCTCACTTCCGATCTACGCCACAACTTGGGCGTGGGGCGCATCAGCGCCCGTGCCCGCCCGCGGTCCTGCACCCTAGCGGTGAATCTGATTCAAGAGATATGTGCAAAGCCAATGCCGGGATTGTCAGATCAGTACTTACCCACGATGTTTGCTTCGTCTTCGTGTATACTTCCCCACCGGCATAAGCATGAGTGCTTCGACATCGTTGCTTCCACTTCGGGGAATAAAATGGTACGTCCATAGGTATGCGACAGGATGGCGTCAATATGCGGTGTTTACAAAGAGAGTGGGTGCGCTACTCACCAATAACGATCGATTATTTTGGGACGCGGACAGTATGCAACGTAAAGGAACGAGGCTGGGCGCCCCGCGCGCCCCCTGCATTCTAATTTCTTAGTGCAAGACCAAGACATCACCACGCCCAAAAGGGGATTCGCGCATGTGTGAGATTGAACGTCCATGCCTCTTTCTCCTATCCACTGCTCAATGGCCATCTATCAGCGCTTGACATGACTGGCATACTGCACATCGAGACTTGCGAAAAATAGGAGCAACGGGTGACCTTTCGGCGGGCTTATCACATTTGGGATGACCATAGAAGGACTTTGGTCTAAACGCCTACAAGAACTACTTTCTGTTTCGGCTTTTGGCATGTGTCTTGCCAGTCGGGAATCGTGACGAATGCTTGCCACATGCGTGTGTCTACGCGCCGCGCGCCGTGAAGGAAAATCTTGTCGAGACTCTCATGTCTCCCCCTATTAGAATGCTGTGTCATAGGAGATGTCTCTGGTTTGCTACCGGTGAATGGATCCAGTCCCACACGTACGTAGTGACGTGCATCTCGGGATCACTTCGGCAGCTGGTACGAATGCCGAATACTATGAATAGGCAAGGCAGCATGCTATGACGTCGAGGCTGACCGCCGTTGTCCGCAACAAAGGGCCACGAGATAGAAAAGGATCAATTATGCAATATTGCCTGGTTATAGAAGCATATGCTCACACACGATGACCTGTGGAGGACGATACAAGGCTGCAGATGTATGATGAAGAGCAAAGCTTAACATCCGTAAAAGTATTACCAACAAGGAGTAATCCAGCGCCTTCAATCGGCGTCTGCGGTGAAAGCAGTTGTATCTGTATGAAAGCAAAATGCATTGGAGACACTATGGCCGAGTGGTTAAGGCGACAGATTCGAACTCCGATTATCTGTTTCGGTCTCCGAGCGTAGGTTCAAGTCCTACTGGTGTCGTATTCGCTAATGAATGCTCTTTTTCCTCTAAACATCAACCGTAAGTCGTTGTACAAACTTTCTTTCCCGCATGTTTCCCTATCCTGCGACCCCACATATGATCCCCCTCTAGGCGATGGCGTACGCCCGCAGAGAAACGAGATTCAGACGCCCAACCTGCCTCGGCGCCTCCGGAGTAGTAGTGGCTGCCTCTGGTTTACGCGGTCCTCAGGCTACAATCCCGACATAGGTCGGACAACATGGCATCCATTCCACTCAACACGCCATTAGTACTCGCCGTCGGTCTCTCTCTGCATGGCCTCCGAAAACGTTCCTTGTCCCCCTCAGGTGCGGCCGCGGCCTTCTTCGTTGGCTACACCATGCTTGCAGTCCCCCTTCGTACATTCGGTGTCTCTCTCATCATCTTCTATCTCGCTGGCTCGCGCGCAACAAAGGTTGGAAAGACGTTGAAGACAAAGCTGGAAGAAGGCCACCAAGCGGCCGGCTACAGGAACGCGGCACAAGTGCTGTGCAATTCCCTCTCTGCCGCGGTGGCCGCCCTGCTCTGGAGCGCGTTGTACGAGGCGAACTCATGGCCGGCAAAGTTCTACGACGCAAGTAATCTGAACGCGGTGGCGAATGCACAGAAAACTCCGCATGATTTTGCACAATGGTGTCCATTGACCCCGCCCCAGTCTGCATCCTGGAGTCGTCCGTTGCTCTTCGTGACATTGGGGTGAGTCGTCGTGCCCACATTGATGAACGATGCAATCCCGGATATACAAGATCCCTGCTACGAGTTTGGAAAAGAGACAGCGCAGCTCGATCGTTTCTACGGTTGGTTGTAAGTGAGTGCAAGTGCCATACCTGCGTCTAGCCTTTAGATCAACGTTCTTCTTCATCGTGTATAGTATACATGTTTGTTATAGCTGGGATCTCACTTTATCCATATCTATAGACATTTCGCATGCTGCTTGGGCGACACACTCGCCTCTGAGCTAGGCATCCTCTCGAGCTCTCCTCCAATTCTTATCACCACGTTCAAACGAGTTCCGCCCGGTACCAACGGCGGACTTTCCAAAACTGGAACCTTGGCTTCGCTCATGGGCGGTCTCATCATGGGAATAACCATGGCCGCATCGCTCGTCGTACAAAGCGCGGCGTGTCGGTCCGCGTGGATGAGCGTTGTGCCTTCACTCTTGCTCTGGGGGACAGTCGCAGGAGGACTCGGATCCCTAGTACGCGACCATTGCACTCGTGACCGCGACGAGCAGACACTGACGCAGCGCTCGAACAAGCTCGACTCTCTTCTTGGCGCGACACTGCAGCAGACGCGTTTCCTCACGTCCACGAAACGCATCTTGACGGATGAAGCTCCGGCGCCAGCGTCTCGCGCGGACGTCAAGGTCGTCAGCGGATACAACCTCCTGACGAACAACCAGGTGAGCGTTCGGGCCGTACCGCCGATCTCTGCGTCAGTGCAAGCTGCGTCGGGGTTGCGTCTGTAGTCGGTGCTGATGGTGTCTCGCACGCAGGTCAATCTACTTTCCTCTATCGCCACTGCTGCGATCCTCGGCAGCCTCGCCTAAGGCCCAACCTCGAAAACATAACGCTTGAGTCATAATATCCGAATATAGTGCTCCCTGTACTGCACGAGGCCGTGTGCGAACGAACGGGAAGAGATGCCAAACTAGATGGGCGGCCGAAGACATGAAGCCTTCGCGGCCAACGTGGTGGTCAATACAAGGGTACAGCTACCGTTACGCCTGTCGCAGGCGCGCTGCGTTGTGGTTTTTCTGCGGAGAAGGCTGATTCGGGTATAGAAGCCTAAATATTAAAGGCGTGCTTCAATCAGTATCTGAAACGTGCGCTCGGCGGTTGTGGTGTTGCTATACCGTAGGCGTCGTGCACTATAGTCCACTAACGAACCACTCAGGGCCGCATCGATAGCCGTTTTGGCATCCTCGGACGTTGCAGCCCATTGGCAATCGAGATGCCGGTTATCCATCTCATAGCCAACGATGCTAGGCGTGGCGCCAGGGACTGCGGTGTCTTATCATAAAGGTGTTTGTCGCCTGAGTGGTTTGCTTGTTACACCAAGCTTCGCGGGGCTTCCATCTTCCTACTACCAGTTCTTCCTGTGAGTGTCAGACACCCGTCATGATGCCCGCACGGAAGTTCTCGTAAAAACTCGAGGCACGGTGGCGCGAAGTTTTGCGTGTGTCGGGGTGCGCTTACCCTTAGGGCCGCGTCGCAATGAGTCTGTGAACAATCCATCGTTGCTTGGAACATGCTCTCCTCCGACCGTAATAGTACCTACCTCCGCCGAAATCGTACATGCTGACTCACCGCGATATACACCGCAGTCCCACAGACCTGGGATCTCGCGATACCATTACCACTGCGTGGGGATGTCGAATCCGAAGATGCACGGACGGCCGAAACCATATATAGCGTGCAATTCTCACCTCTTCTATCCCACCTCGAGGCCTCATAACCCCCGCTGCACGGTGCGGCACAAGACATCTCCCAAGACTTCATCCTTCGCCATGATCCACGTCGCCCTCCCTGGCGCCATAAGGACGGACGTTGCTCCGTCTTTCGGGATATGGCATGTGTGTTTGGCCATGGTACGAGCGGATGCGACGCTCCCCCTTCCCATCTACAGTGCGCACTAGCATCCGACTGTACCGCAGGCTCGCATCATGTTTTCCGGCCAGAGGTCCGAGACCGAGGTTCTTGCGTCCGTCCTCAGCAAAATCCTTGGCTGTACGGACTCCGTCCTAGAATGAGCCACTCCGCCATCCCGAATGTGCGGCACTGACCGGTGACCACGCTCTCGAGCCCCAAGGGCCGGGCACTGCGGATGGAAGTCAGGAGAGACGAAGTGAAGCACAGCCCCCACCGAGGACGTGGCCTGGATTCACGGGGTGCGCCCGAGTTCCGGCCTGCTCGTGCTTGTGGGGCTGAGGTGGCGCTGACGGTATGATGATTTGTGCAGTGCACACTATGGCGTTTTGTCCAATTAAAAGCGCTGTCGCTGTCGCGGCCGCTGCTTGGCACCATCGGTGTCGGGGATGGACATAGCTGCCTTGCAGTCCCGAGATGTCAGGAGCTTGTTTGAGCGGACCCCCGTGGTACCACGCCTTGCACCCCGTCTCGTTGCTTCCGGGCATGAGATGGAGTGCAAGAGCAAGCGATGCCGACGAGTGGTGTCGCCATGCGTTCGCGGCCCAGGCCGGGGCATGGCCTGTACCTGAGGGGTGCGCGCGCGGGTGGACATGGGCCGATACCGAGGAAGGGAAACAGCTGAGAGCTGGCGACTATTACGACACGGCCGGGAGAGGTCGGCGGATGCGTGGGCGAATCAGCGCCGAGGACCGCTTGGCCGCCACAGCGTGCCCGGCCCTAGTGACTTTATAGCGTAGCGCGCCCGGGTAGAGAGCGACGGGGAACATGGGTGCGGCGAGGCCCGCGTCGAGGCCGCCACGCCTCCGCATGCGAGGGCCCCAAACGAGGAGACCGGCAGCCCCTCGTGCATTGCACACTGGGGGGACTGAGACCGAGACCGAGTGGTTCGAATTCGAAGGAGGTTCGGGCGTGGTAGGTGCTACGCATCGATGCGGCGAGATAGGAAGGGGGGATTGGCGAGGACCTCGTGTATCGGGCGTGCGAGGGCGTTTCGCTCGACAAGTGGACATGACCACCTTGGGGACCATCTCGTCCTGTTCGATGGATGTGATCGCAGATGCGCGAAGGGGTGCATCCCGCCACTAGGCACCAGTCCGTCAGAATGTCCATGCCCGGTGATAGATGCAGCCGCTCGCGCCGTGTTCCTCCCCGTGCGGTGAAACGCGGATGAGGGGAGGAGCCCGGGTGCAGGACAGGAGACAACTCGGAGGGCTGGAGAGATAATTGTGAGCGGTGCAGGAAGCTCGCGGAGGTGACTTTGTGGCGTGAAGCCCGTGCGTATCGACATGCACGGAGAGGAAGACTTTCAGGGTCTCCCCGTGCTGCGCAAGGGAGTAGGCCGGGGGGTGGGGTACGGCTTGGGAGTGTACAGCATCGTACAAGGTGAAAACGGACCCGGGCGTTGTTGCACAGATACTGGCCCAATGATAGGCGCAGAGCAGCTGGCGACCCCGAACACTCCCGCAGAATGTAGGTTTGAATGGCTCGGACCGACTGGGTGAACAATCGGGGCAGGGCAGGCGTTTGTTGCCACTGACGCGATGCGGATGTTGTTAGTACCTGGAAGGGATACTTGTGGGTGGAGGGCAATGAGGCCAGGCGTCAGAGCATAAAGATGCCTGGTGAGATTGAATATCATGCCTTTGAGGCTCATAGTCGTCGTTGTACATGAACGTGGAGTGGAAAGAGAGGAGATCTCTTTGCGCAGGTGCGATATTTCTTGGTTAGCAGCTCTCATTCATGACAACTAGTCGACTCACCAAGCCGTAAGGTGTGCTCGCAACGCGGCCTTACGACAGCCCAGTAGCCGACTGACTGTGCTACTACTCGGGGCGGTCATCCTGTAGCTGGGGAAGCGCTATAAAGGGGTGTCGGGGGTCTGGAACATTCGGGAGCGCCCATCTGGGGGAACATGCGGGGCGGGGCGTGCAGCGCTGGGTGAGCTCTCGTTTGCTCCTACAACTTCTTCTCTCCGCTCGCCCTCAACATTCTTGCCCATCGCGTTCTATCATGGCTTTGTGAATTGCTGTAGTTGATCTCAGTGAGTTGACAAATCTGTTGCATCTACCGCTGTACCGCCTCTGCTGCTGCCAGCAGCAAGCGCGTGCGCGAGTCGAGAGACACTCAACAACGACTGTTTTAACAAAGCACACTGATCATCCTACCCTTTCTCCTCAGCGACGGCAACCTTTCGACGCCAATATCATGAATATGTGCAGGGCACCAGCCGAGCACCCTTCCGACCGGTTTTGTTCTCCCAGCGCCCACCCCAACATATTTCCACCTTCTCCTACCGACAGCAACTTCGAACCGTGGCGATCCCCGCCACA